AAAAAAAAAAAAAAGAAACGTATGATTAGATGCATGATGTAAGAACCTGTTCTACTGCAGACAATCTAGCCAATGCAACATGGAATTGAATTACCCATTGCAATATTATGGGGCCAAATAGCATTCTGATGTAGGTGAAAAGAAAGTTGAGTATCATATGCAATTGTGTGGCATCAAGCCATAATGAATCCATGTTGGTAGTTCTCTTCCCCATATAAGCCAGCCCTAAAATAGAAACTGTGGGCCAGAGTAGATTATCACATCCTAACTGTACAGTTGCCCCAGAAACTAGCTTGGCACAAATCACTCCACTATCTTCTTGGTTATCTACAAGTTACACGGTGAAGGACTGTAGTTCATCCAAGAAGATGCTTACAAATCAAATGCCTGTTCAGAACAATAGCAAAGGACAACCTTTTTCAACCTGGAATCCTCCAAATGAAGATAAATACAAGTTTATTGCAATCAAAGACCATATAAAACAAACAAATCATAATGAAATAAAATAACAATTGAAAACCAACAATATAAAACTTACCTTAAAAAGAAAACTATGTTTTTTCCTCCAGTAATTACAAATAATAATAATAATAATAATAATAATAATAATAATAATAATAATAATAATAATAATAATAATGATAATGCTGGAGGTCAGGAGTGGAACAAATAAGGGAAATACTTATCATCACTTCTTTGCATTATACTTTGTCAATATTGGTAATGCACTAATCTTACTATACAGGTAGTCCTTGACTTAGAACAGTTCATTAAGTGACCATCCAAAGTTACAACGGCACTGAAAAAAGCAACTTATGACCGTTTTTCACACTTATGACCATTTCAGCCTGCCCATGATCACGTGATCAAAATTCAGACGCTTGGCAACTGATTCATATTTATGACAGTTGCAGTATCCTGGGGTCATGGGATGATCACCTTTTGCAACCTTCTGACAAGCAAAGACAATGTGGAAGCCAGATTCACTTAACAACTGTATTACTAACTTAACAACTGCAGTGATTCACTTAACAACTGTGGCCAAAAAGGTCATAAAATAGGGGAAAATTCACTTAACATCTGTCTCATTTAGCAACAGAAATTGTAGGCTCAATTGTGGTCATAGGTCAAGGACTATCTACACAAAGACCATCACTGTTTGGACTCACCTCCGTGAAGAAGGACGGCTCGGCTGTTGGTCGAAACAGTTGCCTTGCCGTTGCTTTCTGAAAGGCCAAACAACCAACCTCTGCCACTTTCATTAAGGATTCTTCAGGTCTCAAATGATAAACATGCTTTTCATCAATGGACAACAATAAATGCAATTCAGAGTAAAGAAAGAACTCAAGATTTATACATGCACACTCTCTTACCTGCCTATCTACCTGTGCTGGAATACGAGGGTGGGGAAAAAAGCGAGATAAGAAATCTTGGCCAACGGAATGAGTCATCTTATTATGTCCTTTTCTGGCCACAGACATTCATATTCTAAACTGAGTCAGTACTTACGCACTTAGGGTCAAACCTCTCCAGATTCTATTGTTCAAACCAAGGCAGATTCTGCTTTTTTCTAGCCTGTTTTGCTGATGTATGAGTAATACCGTAGTCTAGTATCCTGCTGGCCATGTTTTGTATGCCATTTCCTTTCCAAATCTTTTACGTCTCTGAAGGAAGAGATGCTATTCACCAGCATTCTATGGCTGATTATCCCTTTTTCAGATAAGCATCATAGTGTCTTTAACAGTTCAAGGCTTTATCAATCCATTTTAAAAGGATACAAATTAGCCACATCATATGGACTTCGCAATTGGATAGGCTACAACAGAAAGGGGAGGGGGGAAGAGATAAATACAGATGCAGAGCATAAATTGCAATTGCATACTTGAGAATTAAAGCACTGCACTCCGAGAGTCAATACTTGGACCATACAAAAGCAGCTTACTTCCTCCAAACATCAACAGTTTATTAATTTTGATGGAGACAAGTTGTATCATATAATTACCACTTAAATGGTCAAGATTTTATGTAACAACATCAGCTTTCTCCTAGACAAAGAAGTATTCAATTTTTGTGAAGTAGGTGTAATAGAAGAGAATGTATCATGTTCCACTATGTTTCCAAAATCATGGACAGTGAAATATCACATGTGCAGGCTTAATTTTAGAGGTGCGATGTCTTACTGGCTTAAAGACACTGGGTTTATCAGATGGAAAAGGTAAGTTCTCTGCATTCCGGCAGTTCGAGCCCTAGTATTGCGTGACGGGGTGAGCTCCCAACACTTGCCTCAGCTTCTGCCAACCTAACAATTCAAAAGCATGCAAGTGTAAGTAGATAAATAGTACCACTCTGGTGGGATTAATGGTGGAAGCAAGAAACCAACTGATGCCAGACTGGCCCGAATGCAAGGCAAAAACCAGCAGAGAAAAAGTCCTGGATGATGAAGAACACTGCTAGCTACTCTGTGTGCTGAACTAGTTTGCCCCCTCTGGTACACCCAGGATAGTGCGTGAGCGTGAACTGAACAAACTAGCATCCTTAGGCAGCCAAACTACTACTCTATAATTACATTGTAGACTCCTGGCTTTCATAGTGGCAACACCTTATGCTAAATAAATGAATGAATAAAAAGGCTCAGCTTTCCCCATCACAATCTCTCTCCTCTTTCCTCCAACTCAAGTACAGGCCCCTGCTCCCTCCTATTTTTCTCTTTAAAAGCAAGTATTTTGCCTGTCTTCACTAATAATGCAATTCCAGGTGTCAAAGGCCACTGGAGAAGGAAGGCACACAGACACGCTTATCTCCCCTCCATTTGCATTCATACTCCTCCCATCAAGCCAAATGGATGCAGTGACCTTCGTGGGGGGCATATGTGTGTGTGTGTGTGTGTCACAAAGTCAAAATGATGGTCACGTCAATACAATCAAACACATCCAAGAGGCAGGCCTTTAAATGTGCTGCCATGATCACCATCTTGTATTCTTTGACACCCCTGCCTGGGCTGGAGTGTGACGATGGGAAAGAGTGATCAGAAAACCTGGCTAACTGACTCATATGATTAGTTCCTTCTCTGGCCACAGGGATTTAATATTAAATATAACTGATGTTTGGCAAGCAGGCACCATATTTTTCTCTGATTTCTTTCATGTCTACACTGAGTCAGTATTTATGGACTTATGGCCAACCTCTCCCAGTTTCAGTGAAGTTTTTGACACGCCACTGAATGAAAGTGTAATTATGAACTAGAACAGACATGTCAAACTCGCGATGTATCAGGACAGTTTTGCCATTGCCGGCAATAGGGTGGGTGCGGCTTTCACGTGACGCGTCCGGCCCGCAGGCCGGCAGTTTGACATCCCTGAACTAGAAGGTACAAGAGGATCCCTTGACTTTGTGATGGAAGGGGAAGAGAATTTTGGGCATCTGAATGAGCCACAGAAAATCAAATACGGATTGGCTGAGTCAAATATCGGCTGCTTTAAAGAGAAGCATCCATTCAAACAATTGCTGATCTTTAAAGAATCAGAGTGACACCTAAATCCATCCTTACCTTTTCAGCTCCACTGGACAGAATAATATTCTAGGAAAGAAGACAATGCAAGAGTTATTTATTTTAGGCAATGAATCCACATAATTTGACCAAACTGCCAGAACACCACATTCTCAAAGAACGTTCCCATTGGAGCAAATGTCAGGACGTTCTTTTTGGAGGACAAAAGCTAAAACACTGCCTTCCCTGTGTGAAATTAACTGGAGAATAAAAAGAAAAAAAAATATCTGTTTTCTTCTCTGTCTAGAAGGTTCCTTTTCTTCATATATTTAATACTTACTTTAATGGGAAGGGAGGAAGGAAGGAAGGAAGGAAGGAAGGAAGGAAGGAAGGAAGGAAGGAGGGAGGGAGGGAGGGAGGGAGGGACATTCCTCGCCATCAAGCTTAAATCTAGAAGACAGAGCACAAGGTAAAAGGATGAAAGCTGACTCAAACATCAGTCTTTAAAAGGGGTTAATGTGTGTATGTATTCTGGATGGAAGAAAATAAATACATTAGCTTTTGAGTGGAGTTGCAGCTTCTAGGGCCAAATCAAAGTGGATATTAAACGCCATTGCATGTTTACATTTATATAACACTTAAAACACACACGAGTGTTTCCATGGATAAGTACCTCCAAATTGTTCTTTGTCCCCCTTTTTTGTTTTTTATGATTCTATTCTATTCTATTCTATTCTATTCTATTCTATTCTATTCTATTCTATTCTATTCTATTCTATTATTCTATTCTACTCTACTCTACTCTTATTTATTTTCCTACAGTGTCCATTTCATTAAACAAAATTACAAAACCTAAATTGGGTAAGCCATCCCATTATATTAAATAAAACTCAATATTAAATTAAAACAATGCCATAAATGAGATTACTCCTCAAGCATATCAGAAGTTTCCCTTTCTCCCCCTGTAAGAATTTTTAATCCAGCAGCAATTTGTAGAGAGGTTTTGGGGAGCCACATGGGATCCAGGGACTTGTGCAACTTTGTCCTGAAGTTTCAGTAACAACAGTAAAGTGCTGATGAATCTACCATATAATATATATAAAATATACCATATAAAATATAAGGTAAGTTTTTTTTTCCTTTCTCAGTTTGTATTTTTAATTTTTTAAATTTTCTTTTTCTTTAAGAGTAAAGATTGTTTTGTTAATTGCGTATGTCTAAACATGATAATTACGTAAAGTGCTGGCAATTCATTCTGGCACCAGGGGAGGAAATCAGGGCAATTTTCTTGAACGAAAAACAAATTCTCTATTCCTTTTCCAGAAATTTCTAGCAGGATTCCTGGGGAGATCAGGGGCATGCCCATATCTATACAAGCATAGGCACTAATCGCAACCTTCCCCTTTTTCTGTAGCAAGTGCTCAAGGCTGCCTCAGCACCTTGTGCTTGACCAAAAGGCCCTATACCCAGCTCACTAATTAGATATTTTCTTTGATTTCCTTCCCAAAGGTGCTTTTCCCAAAGACAACTTCAGAACTCAAGAAGCATCTTAGATGAGGAGTAAAACTTTTCAAGGAAAAAACCAAGAAAGACCAGTTGCCATTTGGAAAAGCACCTTTGGGACAACCATGACTCGGATGACTGAGACTTTCGATAGACATTTGATTTCCTTCAGGGTTTTGTTAGATTTTCAGGTACAAAGCAATGACGAGCAACTTGTTCTCCTCTTTGCTTGACACAGATTAATTGGATGTATTGAACAGATGGTTGCTGATGAATCATTTATTATCTTTGCTGTAGCAGGGACATCTACGGGGTAGTAGGATATCAAAAAAGTTACAACAGTGGTTGCAACTTCATGATCAAAGCCCTACCCCTTTGTACATGTATCAACACGTTAGAAGAGCTGAGGCTTTGGCTGCATGGTGTGGCTGCCCTTCTGACTTTTTCAAATCCCCACCTTCGCACCCCTCCCTCCAAAATATAGGGGTGCGCAAGTTACGTTACATTAATTCAAACCAGATAATTGGAAACTCTAGTGATGGAAGACATCGGGCAAACATGCCTTGTTTTTTGATCTCACCTTTCCACGGCAGATCTGCATCAGGCTGCAGGCATTCGAGATTGTGTACCGTCGCATTGTGGAGTCTTTGATGGCAGGAACGTAAATAAGTTCGAAGTAGATCCCTCGCTCTATTGCCTTTACAAGAAAGAGAAAAATAAATAATCATCAGCTGAATTAAATGGGGATGGGAAGGGAAAAGAGACAGACCCTGGGATGAAGTGATTGCTTTAAACATGACACCAGACTGGTTCCAGTAACCTGGATAACAAGTCACAAACAAAACAAGCCAGAATTTGTAAGCTACAAGTCCTGAATACTAAATGAAATTAGCTATTGAAAATACCATGCAATTCATTCAAAGGTGTAGTGCTGAATGTAATATGTTGAATCTGATTAAATCGCAACAAGGTTTACTGTTACATGTGAAAGCAGTGTGTCATGTTTCTATTCACCTCATAACCAGCAAAGAGAAATGTCAAGACACTTATTAAAGAACCCCCTTACCACATTGACAGATGGTCTCTTGATGAAGAAGGGCAGCTTTTCTGTCACATCAACACACACCAAGTCTACATCTAAGGTTGTGCATGCCACCTAAATTATCATTACGAAAGCATATGGTCAGACAATATTACTTCAAAAGAAATTGTTCCATGCAGAAATGATAATTGTGTTTCCAATAGGATCAGTAAAATATTTAGCAGGATTATATTCAAAGATCAAGTTATTATTACACAAAGTTGGAGTCTCAAATCTTCTACTGCAAAACAGGCTGTAAGCCAGAGGTCTTCAAACTTGGCCCTTTTATGACTTGTGGACTTCAACTCCCAGAATTCCTCAGCTAGTGTGCCTGCTGAGGAATTCTGGGAGTTGAAGTCCACAAGTCATAAAAGGGCCAGGTTTGAAGACCCCTGCTGTAAACCATCCAACTTCCATCAGCTTGCCAGCCACACCCAACCCGATTCAGCTCTTTGACTTTTGTGATACTTCCACCTCTACATTCCTGTGAAGGCAGAGTTCAATCCACTGAAAAACGGTAGAACGTTGTACCCACAGGATTAGCCCAGTCGTAGGACCTAGTTCACAAGTCACTTGATACAAAAATCCTTTCCTAATCCCTAATCTAGGGAAAATATATTTTCAGTGGTTGCTGTCGTTAGGTATAAATGAAAAATCTTTCTTGGTCCCCTGTGAGTCACTTAGAGCTTTATAAGTAGATTGCCACGTACATTTTGCCATTCTCTGACATTTTATCAGCATCGTTCTTCAAAAAGAGATAATTTTAAAAATCACAGCACAGAAAAAGTAAGCAAACAGAGCCAATCTTCAGAAAGGGTTCTTAGAAATAGTAAAAAAGCTTCCACTAAAATCAAAACTGTAACCCAATGTTCACCAAGGTCAAATATGCTATGAACGCTTTTTCTCTGGACAAAGGCCCTGATTTTTTCCATATCCTGCAGAAATATAAACAATGGATTTAGCATAAAGAAAGGAAAAGATCCTTTAGTACTATTATGAGACTTAAATGGCCATTTTCAGTCTCCATAACCAAAGCAAGAGCGCCATCTGCTGAACAGTAGAATGTCAATTCTAGAGGCTATGCAAAAGCCCCAACTTCCTGGCTGATTTGTGATAACTCTCCCAGAAGGCAGTTACTTTTGTGTGTGTGTGTTTGTGTGTGTTTTTAAAAAATTTAACAACCCTAGCTAGACATGATACAATTTGTATAATTAGGAACTCCGGGGAAAGATTTTTTTTTTTTAAATGTAAGCTTCAAGCAAATGTAAAAGAGGCGGTTGGTCAGCCATCTTGCAAAATTTATATGCGCCACCACCAGTACCCTCCCTGCAGTGCCCAGGGATCTAGAAATAATTAACAACACGACTTGAGAACAGTTGTATTAACGATATTTAACTGCCTTGCAAATTGCTAAGAATTTTCAATGAAAGTGCAATGAAAAAATATGTAAATTTTGTTCCACTTGCTACATACAGCCATTAGTGCCGAAAGAATTGCTTATCCTATCTAGAAATCCAAACATTTCCTTCAAGGAATAATTTTGCAGCATTCTAGAGAACTTCATTCCACTCAAGGACAAGGGCTTGGAACCCAACAGGTGACTTGCAAACAAGGTCCCAATGGATGCTGGTATTCCACCTGAAGAAATATCCATAGATACAGGTAATCCTCAGGTTACAACCATTTGTACAGAGAACAAATGATAAGTTATGACTGGTTCTTGAAGTTCTGGCCATTCCAGTGTCCCGACAATCAGGTGATCAAACTTTGGGAGATTGGTGACCAGCCTGCATTAATGACTGGTCACAGCAGCCTAATCATGTTCTCCTGCCTCGGGCAAACTACCACCTACTTTCTCCCCATCTCTGCCTTTTGGACACCCTGCACTCCACCACCCCCAGTTGACCTTTGCTGTCTTCTTCCTCCCACTGCTGCGCCAGGATCCAGGCAATGGGTGAGGGTGCAGCCCTAGAATGTACAAAGCAAGCAGAGCAAGGCAGCAACGCCTCATCATGGCTGGTCAGAGAAGCAGCAGGACAGAGTGGGTGAAGGCAGGGTGGTGGTATAAGCAGAGGAGCCCCGCTTTCTGATGCCAGCACAAGACTTACAGACTACAGAGACTGCAATTGGATGGAGACACCAGCTCCCTGGGTAAAGGTGGCGACTGTATGAGAGGTGCTATTTGGGGTGGCGGCAAAGCTGGAGGAAGTGGAGGGATGAGAGCTTCCTGGAAGCCCAACGTAAGCTCTGCAATTCGTGGTGGAAGCTGCTAGCCCTTTGCTAGGCCCTGCAGGAAGAGTTGGGCCGGATAGGCCCTGTCAATGCTAGAGTCACCTCCACCCCTCCAGTTCTCCAGAAGCAGCCATGTGAGGTTTTGCTTAACAACCATTTTGCTTAGTAGTGGAAACTCCAGCCACAATTAGGGTCGTAACCCAAGACCTACTTGTACTTGGTGTTAGCCCTAACTTTCACCCCATCTTTCTTCCTGTGCCCTGTCATTTACACCTCAGTTCCCATGCCAGGGGAAGTTGTACTTACGTGAAAGAGTTTTGCATTCTTAGGAAATACAGCAAAGATATCATAATATTTGATATTTGTAGATGTCGCTCTCTGGGTATAGAAAAACAAAAACCAAAACAAAATATAACCTGTTATCAGATTAAAAAAGGAAGAATGCTTGTGGCTTATGTTGCACAAATATTGAGCAGTTCAGTGGCCAAACAACAGATTGCATGTATAAACTGTTCCATTCAATATCAAAGCTGTTGCTAGCAATGTGAAATCAATCAAATGGAACAAAGACTCTTTGTAAAACTCTTGGGATTTCAATTACTCAAAATAAACCCAGAACATCACTATTTTGAGTTATTTATAAAAAATAATAAAGTTGTGATAAAAAAAGTTTAGAAAATTACTGAAGCACCATGAAGCAGCCCAAGATTAGGAACTATGTTTTTTTAAACTCATTATATGGATAAAAGATAAATTGATGATGGTAAATATTACAGATTATTCATAAAACAAGTCTTCCTCATTACCAACTTGTTCAAAAATTAATTTATATGAGGAAGATATTATGTTCATCTTAGAATTGCTAAGTGAACAAAAAAATTCACCACAAAATGATGGTATAATTTTTATTTAAATACTTGCAGAAATATTATTTCTTATAGTATCTTATTAACATACCTGATACATTAAAATAAAAAGTGTCTTACTTGTGACTTTAAAAATAACTGTGAAAATGTTTTATGTGTCCAACCTACAGGTTCATAGATCTTAGGTGAGCACATAGAAAATACTGTATAATAAAGAAATACTTAGGATTCATACAGTATAACTAGTTATTCTTAACAATGTTTTGAGAAATAAAGTTATTAACAAGTTTAAAATGGAAAAATATTTCCAAAGAGTTCTATCAGAGGTTCTTTACATTATTTTATTTACTTTTTATCTCATTTTTTATTATAAATAACTCAAGGCAGCAATCATACATAATACTCTTTCCTCATTCTCTTTTCCTCACAACAAAAATCCTGTGAGATGGGTTAGGTTGAGAGGGAATACCGAGCCAAAGTCACTCAACCAGCCTTCATATTTGAGGCAGCACTAAAACGATGATGATGATGATGATGATGATGATACTAGTGCTAATGCTAATGCTAATAATAAGATGGTTGAAGAAGAAAAAATGGCTTTGGAAGAATATCTGAAGGACAATGATGAAGATGCACTGAAATTAGTATATCAGGAAGGCTTACTGACTACTGGAGAGACCAAACTGGCCTACAAGAAAGACCAAATGAAGAACAGAATAAAGGCATGGGAAGACAAAGCACTACATGGCCAGTACATTAAAAAAAATAGCTGGGAAAGCAGATAATAACAAGACCTGGCAATGGCTAAGAGCAGGAAAATTGAAGAAAGAGACCGAGGGACTAATTCTGGCTGCACAAGACCAAGCCTTAAGGACAAATGCATATAAAGTCAAAATTGAGAAGACAGCAACAGACAGTA